AGTGACTTTTACGCAATCAGAGGGTGGGGAAGATAGAGTTTTACTGTTGGGCTGATCTGACCAAAAAATGGTTTGTTGTACTTTTCTGCTCACTGACATGGCAGGAGAATAACTGCAGTCGTAAGAGAAATTACTAGATGATTTTTGTTTTTAGTCACTTTAGATTGCGGTTGAAGCACAGAGGTGGAAATAAATGTGCTGCCATTTCATTTTTCTCTGGAATAATTCTCTTTTCACCTCACCAATTTTTTTTTTTAAGGCAGATACCTCACCATACTGCATAAGCTGTGCTTATTTGTACTTAGAACCTGTTAATGTCCTAAGTGCATGTCAGGAACATGGTATGAGGTAGCTCCTTGTCTAAGGCTGTCTTTTACAGTTGCCATTTGTGACTAGTATAAAATTTCAAGAATGTGAGGTGAATATATACGGGAGGTGTGAACTGATCTGAATCAAGGATTAATGATGTGATTTCTTTTAAAAATTTTCCTTTTTCTAATCTGTAAGAATTGGAAATATTTTATATGTTGGAAACTTTTCTTATTTTATTCTGCAAAATGTAGTATTAATGGATACATACATAAGGCATCTCTTACCTTAAAGTGTGTCTCCATTTTCAGCCAGTGGTTGCAACATCTTGCATGGGAGTAAATCACCCCATCTTTGTTCGGAAGCAGTTTGATTTCTGTATAGTTGATGAAGCTTCCCAAATCAGCCAGCCCATCTGCCTGGGCCCGCTCTTCTCTTCCAAAAGGTTTGTGCTGGTGGGGGATCACCAGCAGTTGCCTCCACTTGTACAGAATGCAGAAGCCAGGTAAGATAAAATGCTGCTGGGGAACTGTCAGTAGTATGAGCTTTGGGAAGCTCTTGCAATGTTTTGACTGGGGTATTATCTCTGTGTTTGTTTTTTGTGTGTCTGTTTTGTAACAGAGATCTTGGCATGAGTGAAAGCTTATTTAAGAGGCTGGAACAAAACCAGAATGCTGTTGTCCAGTTAACTGTGCAATACAGAATGAATAGGTATTAAAACTTTTGTTTCTTATACTAGAGTTTTTAATACAGGGTTTAAATAGCAATGTTTGACACTGTTCTTGTCTTTAAATCCTTAGTAAAATTATGTCATTGAGTAACACGTTGGTGTATGAAGGCAAACTGGAGTGTGGCTCAGAGAAGGTGTCAAAAGCCACTGTGAACTTGCCCAATCTGAAGCAATTGAAACTGGATCTTGCAGATTCTTCAAAAATGTGGTTGAAAAAAGTACTTGAACCAGATACACCTGTGTGTTTTCTAAACACAGAGAAGGTGAAGTTAATAATATTCTCCTTTCAGAAGTATGTATTTGTAAATTTAAATACAGTGAATGTGTAAGAATTTATCGAGCTTAAAGGTAAAATAATTAGCTTTTAAAAATGGTCTAGTTATGTGCAAGATATGCAGATTTATCTACTATAGCTGATGAATTGTGATGGTGCATCTACTGCTAGGAATACTTCATCTCATAGCAGTTGAAAAGTTTGATTTAGCAGGTATTACAGAAATTGAGTGCGCTCTGAACTCTGTCCTGGTTTTTCAACTATTTGGATAGACCTAGATTTTGATACTTTTCTAAAAAAGTGCCTAAGCTTAATAGGGAGGGACCTTTTCTAGGAATGCTTCAGTAGCTGCCAAGCCCTTCACAGACATCATAATGTTAGGGAGATGGACTAATCGATGTTAGTGATATTTTGTTTAAACTTCAAGGAGGTAAACATAAGCCGAGAGGATAACTTGTAAAAATGTGGTTACCAAAATAACAAGAGTATGACTTTTTTTTTTTTTTAGGCTTGTTCCTGGATTTCAGATCTCATTTATACATGATGCAGAAAAGGGAGTTTTTAGTTAAGAAAGCTAACTTGTGTGAATGCCTCTCTTCCTTTTCTTTGAACTTTGGAAGTTTTATTTGATACTGCCATCCATTTTTCACATGGCTTATGGTATTATGTGGTATGAACTGTAAGGTCAGATGATGAAACTTTAGCAATTGCTTGAGGTGACTTGCTGTTGCTGGAAACTCATCTTAAAAGATTCTTTCACTTTTTTTTTTGTAAATGTAGCATTACAAAATAGAGGTCTGTGTTTTTAAAACTTAGCATTCGGCCTTTTTAAACTCTTTGGTTAAACTTTTCTGTAAAATAAATAGGTAATGATTTAGTATTCAGAATATTCTGTGTCATTGTAGACCACAAGAGTCATCATTTTCATTTGTATTTTTTCAAGGTCCCAGCACCAGAACATGCAGAAAAAGGTGGTGTAAGTAACGTGACAGAAGCCAAAATAGTGCTCTTCCTCACATCATTATTTATCAAGGTATCTTCTTTAATATGTTGTTTGGAGGGCCAGCTTCATAACAATTTTACATTGATATATGCCTCACAACTACACTTACCTGGTTATTCTTTGAGTTATTTCTGAATGCAATAAATACTTTAAAAATGTGTGTGTGTGTGAGGGGGGGTAGAAAGGGATTTGCCTTTCTTGCTTCATCTAGTCAACTTTAGTACAAAATAATTCTAACTGAGTGCTGAATGCTTGCCTTAAATTTTGAGGAAGAAAGAAGAAACAAGAGTTTAGAAGGTTTCTGTTTTCTTTCTGGGTAATGACAGAGCTTGGAGTCTCGCAATAACAGTGTAGCGACAATATCTTGCAGCATTGTAAAAATTGAACGACAAATTTTTCTTTTTCTTCAGGCTGGCTGTAAGCCTTCAGACATTGGTATTATATCGCCATACAGACATCAATTAAAAACAATCACTGATTTGATGGCAAGATTAAAAGAAAATAGAGTGGAAGTCAATACTGTAGACAAATACCAAGGAAGAGACAAAAGTATTATAATTGTGTCCTTCGTTAGAAACAGTCATGATGAAAACGTGAGTTGGTTGTATTATTTTGACTTTTTCAGTCAAATTAGAATTCAAAAACAACCCTGAACCTTAAGCTTAAATGACGCTATTTTCAAAATATGTTTTACATTTCAGAATTTAATGTACATAGTTGCAAAAATAAAAACAAGCTCTGCTTATTTAACAGCTTGGCAGCCTTCTGAAGGACTGGCGACGTCTTAATGTTGCTATCACCAGAGCCAAACACAAACTGATCATGGTCGGTTGTGTTCCGTCCCTGTGCCGCTATCCTCCTTTAGAGAAGTTACTCTGCCATTTACAGTCTGAATCAATGATATCCTTTTTTTTTCTCCATGCTGTTTTATGAAAGAGGGGAGATAAGTTTGACTTCTGGAGGGTAGAAGGGAAGGACAGGAAGAACTTTGATTTCTTAGGTTATACTTACAATACAGCACTGCAGGAGCACACATTTAAACATTGACAGAGTGGTTTTGTTGGCTGTTTTCTTTGCTAACACTAATATGCAAGAGTTTTGTGTTTTTGTGAAAGCAATACATTACCAAAATGCTTGAGTACTGTTTCCTTAACTTGTTTACATCTTCAATCTTCCAGCAGGTGCTCATGAAAGTATCCAGAAATGTAGCATTTTATGACCCTAAAGATCAGGAACTTGATGGACATATTTTGTGGGTGCTGCTGAATGTAAATAACTCATCAGTGGGGTATGAGTGCTGCTATGCACCATTCAATCTGAGTCAGGCTGAACAGAAATACTTATGATTATTTTAAAGGTTGCTTTTCAGTAAAAATGATGATTGCTGTTCCTTTCTTGATGGGTAGTTCTCTGTGTAAGTGAATGGAAAAACTTGGAGGGATAAATCAATGTTGCTTTGAGTCAGTTTTTTTAGGCTCAGATTGGTTTTAAAGATTTGTTTACATACAGCAATTTTTATTACTATTCATAATTAACATATCCTGGTTCTGTAGTTTAGAAAAGAAATAGGAAATTTTTTCTTCTTGTCTTCAAAGCCTCATGTTCCTATTAAATATTACTCCTGCTTGTAAATAGTGAACTTTTATATACATAATGTAATTAATACCTTATGAAGGTCCCTTGATGACCTGTTTAAAATGTTCTGCATAAATGTGAAAAAGGTGAGGCTGATTTATTTAACTTTTTTATGAACTAAATTATTAAGATTAATCTCTCTAAGAGAAGTTCTGCTTATTGAAAGTCAGAGTTGTTAAGTTTTTTCTTTTTTCCTGTTTTTTTTTTTTTTTTTTTAAAAAAAAAAAAAAAAAAAAAAAAAAAAAAGAAATGAGAAACAGCTTGATGGTGAAGAAATTTACACATCCCATTTCTATTAAAAAAAAAAGGATAGTGTATCTGTAATACGAGGTATCCTTGATGGATCTAGTTTAGGTTTCTCTATGCTACCTCATATTGTACCATATTTTGTACCACTATTGTACCACTATTGTACTCTATTGTACCACTGAGCCTTTTCTTTTAAAGACCACTTGAAGCAACCTCACATTTTTTGACTTCTTAAATATCGTTAGTATTTGAGGGATGAGTGCATGTAGTTACGAACTTCTACATCTCTTAAAGGTGAGCATCTTCGACTTTTTTTAACCTGCTCTGACTTTTGTAATGTCTGTGATGAAATAAAAGTGTGTTTTGTTATCTTTTGATGCTTTACAAAAATCTTGTTATTTTTTCCCTTAATAAATTGAGTGACACTATGTCCCCTTTTCAGGTTTAAATATGCACTTCATCAGCAAGCGTATCACTGCCCTGGATCTCTTTAGGAATAGGTGGGGGGTTGAGCACTGAGTCATTCCTAAAATGAAAGTACTGCAGGATCGGAGGCTGAATTATGATGTTCAATATTCAGCCTCTTGGGTGCGTGGTTTTTTTTTTTTTTTT